TCATGGTGGGGCATTATGCTCCATGATCGTGACATTCACAGGCCACTGGCTTTTCCATTGCAGGTTTGGGTATAATATAGGGCTTAGGGGCTGGGGCTTCAGATGAAAGATCTTGCATCACCCCCTAGAACCGGAACTTTGGGAAGTATTATGCCCGGGTGTTGCAAGATCACCATATATGGGTTTAGGGTTATTGTAATTATGTTCGAAGAGCTCGAAGACGTCGATGTCGGCCCCATAATCTGTCTGGGGTGGTTGCGAGTCGCTGGCCCCGGATGCCCACTTGTGGGTGCTGCCGGCTCTGATCGGGGTGTCTGCTGCGGGTCTTCCTCCTGTGTTCTTGGAAAGCATGGCTTTCTGTTTCAGGGGCTCCATGTCGCACATGTCCCACAAGCCAGGATTGATGCTGCCAACCGGAATCGACAGCATACGGCTTTCATAGGTGGCAGCAGGTCGATGTGTCCACATTGAACTTCTGCTTGTGTGCCACAGTCAAGAACCGCAGCATGCCAGTAGAAGTGCAGTCAGCTCATCATGCAATCGTGGGTATTATGATCCGAGTCTAATCCAAGGGCTGAGGGACTTTAGCTACAGGGCACAACAATATTATTATATGTTTTGGGTGATCTGGGGATCTCCGAATCTCCGACTCCAACGAAATTGCACATACAGACTCAAAGCCCGATGAATAACATTGTAATCAACCCTCTCCTGCTAAACCTCGAGCCCTACATGAGGAAATTTTGCATGGATGCTAGAACACCCGTAGTCTAGACCCAAAACCCGTAGTATTGGGGCCCACACCGGCCAGGCGAATGGTGAAGACCTGGCACATTTTAAACCCGATACCATTGGCCGCTCCAAAGACCATATATAATCATTATTATAAATTACCTCTTCGCACCTAACACCCCCAAAACATTTGAAGTATTGATCTGTAGCCTTTACAACTCCATGTCGAGCGAGTCATATGATTATCTGGGGATACTGGGTTCTGTGGGCAGCACACCCACGCAATATTGGCATAGGGTTTCCGCAAGTGATTTGCAGGTCGGTAGATATGCTGGCTTCCAGGCAGAGGGTCCTAAACCATATTTGGGGTGCTACAAGCAGAGCTAGAGGAACCCTATCTAGGGGCAAGGGCAAGGAATACAATATACATATTGGGAGGCAGGTTTTGATTCACGCCTTTGATTGTTGCAAACCCCGCCTAAACCAATATTTCGGGCGCCACCAGGAGTGCCGGGGAAACCCTATCCTATATGGGCCAGGTATATCTGTGTCTCCGATAGGGTTGGGTGGGTGGTGGGGGGGTGCCCCAATAGTGCTCCGATCAATGTCCGTGGGAGTCGCAACATGTAGAGTTGCTCGAGCAGAAGCTCGAAGTCGGCTTCCATGGTACTCATGTGCCAGGTGACCAAGACATTCGATCGAAGAGCTGCTCCAAGTCCTTCAAGATTCGAAGTCTCCGGTTGTTGGACACTGCCAACTGCCCTCACTCGTTTCCAGGGCTCCAGTCCAGTCCTCGCTACCGGTCTGACCGGTGATGTTGTCTGCCCACTCAGCCTACCTGCTAGGATCTATAATATATTCTACCTGCCCTATACACCACCATGCTCGAAGATTCTACTGTTGTGCTGCCCGACGGCTAGCTTCGAATATGCAACAAGGACCCCAGGCCCCAATCCAAGTGCCTGCTAAATTATACCCAAGTATATCTGAGGGTATATTTGCGAAATATGTATACCCGAAGCCTACAGCTATAGGGTATATATATATATACCCTACACCTTACACCCTGAACCTCGAACCCCCAAACCCCAAAACCCCTAAGCCCCTTTGCCTCTAAACACCTAAAACCCCTGAAGTAGCCCTCGAACCCAAACCCCCAAACCCCTAAGCCCCTTTGCCTCTAGACCCCTAAAACCCCTCAAGTAGCCCTCGAACCCCCAAACCCCAAAACCCCTAAGCCCCTTGGCCTCTAAACCCCTAACACCCCTGAAGTAGCAAAAAACCATAGCCAATCCTAGAATCGTATCCAAGTACTGCATATAATGCCGAGGTGGAGAGGCCATTGGAGTGGCAGCACGCCGGGCTTGGCGAGATTCTGCTGTTCCTGAGACAGGAGCAGGAGGCCGGCCGCTTCAAGCCCATGAGCAGTCTGTATGTGTAGTTCGACAGCCAGCTTCGGATTATCCCTGGACGGTGGCTAATTAGCTGCAATTAGCTTATTTTGAGCTGTGTCATAGACACAGCCCAATCACAGCCCAATTGACCTGCAGATGCGAGGAAGAATGCTGGTGACTCCCAGGGGGCCCGGAGCTTCAGGGATGACTCTGTTGATACTGGATTTCAGGGGCTGTGTCGAGGCTACATTTCAGTCTTTTCAGGGGAGATTTGGGCCAGATTCCTAGGCAACTAGGAGCGTGACTCTAGCGTGATTCTGGCGTGATCCTGGCGTGACTCTGCACGGCCCTTTATAATAGATTCTCTTAGCTCCCCCACAACCACCACCCCACAGGCGTGAGGGTAGCGTGATGTTGGCGTGCTGCTGCCAGGGCCCCCAAGATCTACAACAGTGCAGAGGGCAGTATTCTATGCAGGGGCTATAAGATCCCAGTGCCGGTTCTATGCGCAATGCAATTGAGCGCCGGGTTTTCTGATCTGCTGCAATTGACTTGCTCTGTTGGGGGGCCGGGTTCTATGGTCTTCGACTTAAACTCGGGCTTCTGATCTTTCGCCCTGGGGTTGTCTGTAGAACTGCACATCACAATTGGAAGATTTATTTTGATCAAGGATGCTCCTAGGCCGTCTGCAAGATTCCTGTAGATTTACATCTCATCCTGGATGCTTGTCATGTTAGGTCGGACCATGCAATATTGCTAGACATCGCTGTGCATGTGATTTATAGGAAGCCTCTATATATCATGGTGTCCGCAGCGGTCGAAGCAGCCCTTGCAAAAGCTGCCAAGCTTCGGGCGAGTGTAGCATCCAGCGGGGAAGGTTCCTGGGCGCATCGTTTCCACTCGGAATCTCATGCATGCTAGGATACCGTAGGTACGTGCTTCTAGATTATAAACCGACATCCCAGGTACGGGAAGCAGCAGCCCTGGACGCAGAAGCCGATCCTCCCCAGCGAAGACTCTTAGTTCATGCAACTCCCAGGGGAGCTTTGACAGCCCGGTTGCAAAAGTGAAGACAGAGATCGCAGCAGTGAAGCACGAGAAGACAGCTACGGTGAAGAAGCGGAAGAGAAGCAAAACGTGCCCCAGCGCAAAAAAAGCTCCGCCACCCGCACTGGAAGCTACCAGGCTGAATTATCCGCATCCCTTATGCCCTGATATAAGATGTTTAATACCTGCTGCCGAGGCTGTGGACCCGTCTATGCAGGAGACTCAGGAGAACGAGATGCAGTTTGATCAGGAGGAGGCTCGCCGGCCTAACTATATATGATATTGGGATCCGGAACTATGCTCTATTTGGATTCTGGTTTCGGCTTCCAACCCCTCTCCTCGCCCGAATTGGTCCGTAAACTCCTGAAACCCCAATCCACTAAGCCCTCTAACCCTAAATTCCCCCACTGTTTCAGCTACATAACTACCCTTAAATGTTTGAGGGGTGAGCTTGGGAGGGTTTCAGGGGTTGGTGGTCGGAATTTGCAGGGTTCAATGGGATGAAGGGAGGATAGCCTAATGGCAGGTGTTCTTCAAGCATAACATATATACTTAAGGCAAACCTTGTAAAGCCGACAATAGTGCTGCAAGCAGCCACAGCTGAGGCGAAGCTGATTTCGTCGATCATGATCATAGCCTGGGATTCAGAGTAGGGGTATCGGCTTTATCGTGAGTGGGTCTTAGAGGTTTTGGGGTTCTGATACATGAGTACTATGCAACTACTACTACTACTACTACTACTACTACTACTACTACTACTACTACTACTACTACTACGACTACTACTACTACTACTACTACTACTACTACTACTACTACTACTACTACTACTACTACTACTTCTACTACTACTACTACTACTACTACTACTACTACTACTAGTACGACTATACTACTACTACTACTACTACTACTACTACTGCTAGTGCTAGTGCTACTGCTACTGCTACTGCTACTGCTACTAGTACTAGTACTAGTACTAGTACTAGTACTAGTACTAGTAGTAGTACTACTACTACTACTACTACTACTACTACTACTACTACTACTACGACTACGACTACGACTACGACTACGACTACGACTGCGACTACTACTACTACTACTACTACTACTACTGCTACTACTACTGCTACTACGACTACTACTACGACTACTACCTACGACTACTACTACTACTACTACTACTACTACTACTATAATACTGCTATAACTCCTTCTGCTGCTGCTGATACCAACTATACACGTACTAGCTGTACATGATCACATACCCAGTCTTCGGACTGGGGCTAGGAGTAGCACTACGGACCTGACACATGCAATATATACATTGATGCGATCTGTAAATTGATACTGGCATACGGAAGCCCACATTATGAAACAGTCTGAGAACTTGTCACGCACCACAACCCCCATAAAATATCGGCTACACCCCAATCATAGAACCGATGCAAACCCACATCCGAAACCCACTGCCAGGAGTTGCCTTCGATGCCTACAAGCCCTGGAAAGAACTTGGCTGCTGGGACCCCTCGGAAGAAGTCTGATGCTAATACCCATCGCCAGGATTTGCCAGGTACAAGCCCCCCGCAAAAGGAATTGCCACCTACGACCCCTCAGAAAGGAGTTGCCAGCTGCGACCCCTCAGAAGGAATTGCCAGGTACAACCCCTCAGAAGGAGTTGCCAGCTAGGACCCCAAAGAGCTCCAAAAGAAGGAAGCCTGACAAATCCACCCCTGACCCAAAACCTGCCGCTGAGAAGGACTGGGTCTTCGGGGTTGTGCCGCAGGTAGATATTTCATATATCTGAATTGCAGGACTGGAGTCATGAAGGCCACGCCGAGCAGAGCCAGAGCAGCAATCCTGGCGAAGGAGATAGGCATACACGTTGCTCGTCATGCATGCCGATCCAATCAGACGATATTATATCTAAGGCACACCACGATCAGCAAAGAAGCGACGGACGCCAGGAAAGCAAGACAACACGTGGCATCAACATGCCGCTTGTCTCCACGGCACATGTTCGTCCTATGCGGTACGGTGTCGATAATTGCATGTGAGCTCAGGACGATGCATGGTCGCAGGATGCTCAGCCGGAGTGGGATTGGAATGGCTGGGGGACCCAGAGCTCTTGGTCGACGTGGGATGATGCCTGGAATGCCAGGCCAACTTGGTCCAGCCAGGAATGTGATTCCTACGATCAGTGGTGGGCTTGGAGGCAACCTTCGCCTCCGGAACCCAAGGAAAGGAACTCTCAAGAGATTTTGTCGTTGCTGCATCGGGGACACACAGTGGACCGGCTCACCTCGGAGGAGCTCATGGAGATTGTGGATGCCATCGATTCTCAGCGCCGCCAAAAGGATGCCGACAAGGACAAAGCTACAACCCCAAGATCCGTTAAGCGCAAGGCGGTGACACCGAGAAGGTCAGCGAGGAAGACGCCTCAGCAGTCGCCGCCAAAAGGTGGTGATACAAAGCAGTCGGAGAAAGATGAGGATGCCAAGCAGTCCCCGCCAAAAGGTGGTGATGCAAAGCAGCCGGAGAAAGGTGAGGATGCCAAGCAGTCGGCACGAAAAGATGGTGATACGAAGCAGTCGGAGAAAGATGAGGATGCCAAGCAGTCCCCGAAAGGCGGTAAGAAGCAGACGCCGAAACGGGCGAAGCACGAGCCGAAGGATGGTGACAGTAACCAGGCGCCGGAGGGTGAGACAGGTCATGGTGCTACTGGGGCTGAGGATCCGAACTCAGAGGACGCCAAGAAAAAAGAGAAGGAGAAGAGAAAAAAGAAGATGCACGCCCGCTACATGAGGTTCCATCGGTCCTTGGTGAGCCACTTGTCTGAATTATGCATGTAACTCTGGTATGCGGTCTAGACCTGACTTTTTTTCTATTTGGATCCGGAATCAGCAAAGGCCCCAACACGCCGCCGGAAATCCTGAAGTTGGCTGAGAAGGCGGCGCCCCACTCCCCGGAAAGGTCGTATTTGTATGAATCCTGGCTTACCAGCAACGAGTGCTGGAAATCCTCGAGATTGCTCATCTCCTTGCGGCAGAAGAACTCCACCAAAAACCGAGGAGTTCGAAGGTGGATGACGTTTGCAGAGATGTGCAATAAATACGGCGAAAGCATCGCCACCGAGATCAGGGACGCAAAGCTGGAGGATGCAGAACTTAAAAAGAAAGAAGTCCGTGACCACCCGGAGTGCAAGCACCGGAAGGCCACACCGCTACCCACACCGCTACATAGTCATAGACTGCTTTAGTGTACCGTGCTGCTTGTATCTAGATCTCGCATTCCATCGAAAGTGGCATGAGTTTCTATGTGTGCTCTCTGCATGCAGGATATGACGCAATACCTATGCTTGGATGATGATTGCGAGGAAAAGGAGGACCTTGAAGAAATGGAAAAGCTATTCCAGGCGGAAGAGGGAAGCAGCGATTCCTCCGATGACTCATCGGACTCTTCGGGACATGAGGCAGCTTCGTCATCTAAGAAGCCAAGCAAGAAGGATAAAAAGAAAAAGAAGAAGAAAAGCAAGAAAAGCAAGACCAAGAAGGCTTCAAAGGAGAAAGCGAAGACAAAGAAGCCAGGAAAGAACAAAGGCAAGACGACCGGGCAGGACGTTTAGCATACCATCAGCGGTTCTACTGTTATCCGGAAGTTGTTGTTGCCGAGCCCTGAAACCCAGAATACTCCCATGCTTGTCCAGCCTGCAGGACAACTCTGGTGTGGAGATCGGCAAAGAAGCCAAGAAGGCCAGATCCTGGGTTTTCCACAATTAATTAGATTTCTGGGTTCCCGGCTGTTTCCAATTATTATGGTGTTCTTTTAGGGTTTAGGGTTTAGCTTGGGGGGCGGAATTATAGCTTGGGCGATGGAGTGTCCGGCTTTGTTTCCTGGCAACAAATAACATTAGGTATGTGCCAGTGCTGGGATTCCGACATGTTTTCTACCTACTATATATACATATATATATATATATATATATATATATAGTACGTAGGTATAAAACATGTCGCAATCCCAGCACTGGCACATACCTAATGATTAGGTATACACGATATCCAAGTTATTTTCCGAGAATATGCAATATATATTTATATATTAGATTTAGTATATATATAATATTAACATTGCATATTCTCGGAAATAACTAGGATGTCGTGTCCCCAATAATGCCCCAAATCCTAAAGACCGAAACTCAGCGACAATCAAGCGTGGTGATGCTGGTGGCTAGACCCCAAATCCCTTATTAAGTATTGGAAGCCCCTTGCCCGAAAAACCTACTTCGAGAGCCAAACCTCCAACACTGGGTCGAACCACGTTTTAATCGCAATGTATATACTCATCAGTTCTTTCTGTATCAGGCCCGAGACAAGGCCACGGCGAAGATCAAGGCTGCAAACGACCTTCTGAAGGAGCAGACTGCTAAAGTGTCTGTCCCTCAATATGGAGTCCAATTAGAGTGCAATCTGAATATATCATAAAAATATAATAACTCCACATGGCGTCCCAGGGGTGATCATCTGCTGGCTGCAATGAAGAAAGATGTCGAGGAGCAGGCTTCGCGAAGGGTCTACTGGAAAATGCGATTTCAATTAAGGCCCTGCAGAATAAGCCTGGAGACCTCAAACCCAGAACCCCACAACAATACTGTCTCATGTCTCATCCTAGTCACATAGCCCCGCCCGGTCAAAAACGCTGCCAAAAGGCAGCAGCTACTATACTAATATTTAATTATTACTTTTGGGTCTTAGACAGGGCTTGGAATTACAACCAATCATATAGTACTACGTCCCACTATTTATACTAGCACCAATATCACACACAACTAGCACGACCACGACACCAGTAGCACTACCAATCAGATATACGACTACGACCACTGCTTCTGCCACTGCTCCTGCTGCTGCCTTTCAGCTACCTGTCTGATGCTCGTAGCACTACTCCGAATTGCCGAACATATCTCCCAAGGCACCAGCCCCCGATTTAAGCCAAGACCCTCCCTGCTCCAGATGCTGAAGCTCCGCGAGCTTCGCAACAACTTGCAGCATGCCATGGACCAGGAGGCCTTAGCCGAACGCAGGTATCATGAATATGCAGGGTTCATGAGATCGATGTTTGCATGCAGGATTCCGACAACCTGCCGGCGCTCACACAGGACGTTCAAGACGCTTGTACAAAGTTCGATCAGTGCAGCAAGGAGTTTTCCAAGAAAACTGGTGCTAAAAAGACTAGCACCAAGTAGGTACCAGGTTTCGGTGCTGTTGCCCCGGGGCCCAGGATCTGGCTTCGACTTTTGTGGTGGTATCTACAATAACTCTGCATTCTGATAGTTGCCCCGATCCCGAGAGCGACACTCTAGCATGCCTTGCATGGAACCAGGTCCGCAATCTTGAACCTCAAAGCTGTTGTTTTGGGGCCGTCACGTGAACTTCACAGCAGTGCGATATTAATCGCACAGCGAAATTAGCGGAAAGCAGAGCTGGGGCGATGCATCCGACCAGAAAGAATGAAGCCTCGATCCCTATACACCAAAGATTATCCAATCCGTGTATACCAGTACTCGCTGGCAAGTTGCACGCCAGGCTCCAGCGATGATGCAGCAGATGGCCTGCTGCAAAATATGATGGAGAAAGTTTCCGATGGTGCAGCTTGGCAATATATAGGGCTTGGGTTTTCCTGGATTGCATTGATTGACTGAGGGAGTGCAGCTTCTGCCATCCTAGGCTAGCTCAGTCACTGCTGCTATGGATAATGCAAGAGCAGCTTTCAAGGACTCGTGCACGCAAGCTAGCAAAACACTTGGAAGTGAAGTTCAACTTAAGCTTGCTACCGGGCATACCTCCAGGAGGCTGGTGGGAAGTTCAGGGGCAAACCGCGAATGCCCTGATGAATTTCAAGCCTGGAAACTACGCTCGAAACTTCTTCAAGAAGGTAGCACTTCCTCTGGACACTCGGAGTGCAACTATTGGGGTTTCTGGGCGGGGGGTCGAATTTGCCGACCAAATGAACCTAACTAGGGTTTAAATCTTCAAAGAGCTATCCTAAATACACCCTCGGATCAAGAAACGATGGTGTTCTTGAGATGATACAAATAAAAGCCTAAGGAGCCTACAACGATCGAAGTGCCAGTTCGATCTATGGATACAGAGGGCAACGAAAATATCGTGCCTATGCAGCTGCCGGTCTTGGACGTTCACGAAGTGCTGGCATACCTTCACAATGAAGTCAAGGTGGAAGTTCCGGCTGAAATGGTGCAAAACTACTATGCACATATGGAAGCCGTGGATATGCCTTGGATTCGTGGGTTTCCTGGCGACAAAACTGAAGTACCATTCAGTTTGTATGGCGATGAGTGCTGCTTGAGTGCTGATCCTCATGATAAGGTGGTTGCCTTTTTTATGAGCATCCATCTTTTTCGACCGACCTCGGTGAGGCAAGGGCAGTTTCTCATTGCCGCTGTACAACAGGACTTGCTTGTCGATGATGAATGCTTGCGATCTCTCTTCCCGATATTGCAACACATCGTGTGGTCGTGCAATGTGGCTTTCGAGGGGCGGTACCCGCATACAAGGTTTGATGGCGGCTCTCTGACACCATCCAAGCTGCAAAAAGCGGGTACTCCACTCGCCAATGGCCGCCGCTGGGTCTGCAGCCAGGTCAAAGGGGATTGGAAATGGCTGGAAAAGGTGCTACGCCTATTGCCAACCCCTGTGAGCAAGCAGCCCTGCTACATGTGCGACGCTTGCTCGGACGACTCTGCAATGAAGTACTACGATACCGGCGACTTACAGCAGGAGCCGGGCTGGGCTGCAACTGAAGTGAACACTGTGGGCTTCCTTGCAAGGAAGGTGAGGCCTGGGGTACTCAGTGCCTCAGACTTTCTTGGAGTTGAGGTTCGGGTTATTCAATTTGAGGTTATGGTAGTACCCTTTTTGCATCGGGCGTTTACCACCGCCCGGTAATCCCTACGTATACCATAGTACCCTACACCCTAAACCCTGAACCCTAAGACCCTGAAACCCCACAGCTTGACAGTAGCACGATCATAGAAATTCTGAATCCTCCGGAATCCAAGGTCCTTTGCTCCGCCTTCGGGGCTTCGATATTTCGATGGTCAAAATATGCTCTATGCATTGCTGCAACCTGGGCCTGGTTTACACGGCCAATGGAGGATGTCTGCCGCTTGACCAAATATTCCGGCTAAACCTATTATAGAATTAGGTCCCTGAACCCCTAAACCTTTCAGTATATAAAGCTTCAAACCGCTAGCAAGGAAGCTTGGATTCGATATATGTTTTTTCTTATTCGTATTCGTGCTCGGAATAAGAAGCTCTTCTGCATGAATTGCCTCTAAGATGACCCTGGTATCTCTGGGCCAACAGCTTCTGGACGCTGCATTTGCGGATTTCAAAGCCTGGAAATTGCAACACCGTATCCCCTGCTCACAGAAGCGCTTCAGCGTGGGTTTGGTGATCAAGAAAATGCATGGGCATTATATGACTGCCAAAGCTTACAATGGACGGGTCATCTTGGAGTGGCTTGCTGATACCACGACAAAAGCACTCTCAGACAAAAAAATCACAGACCCTCGCTTGCCCCACCTGGCTGTGGCTTTGAAGCTTGGAATGCAATACCTGCTAATTAGCTCATAGGCCCTCGAACCGAGGCGAGACGCAAGCACCCTAAACTTAATGCCTATTATCCTGAACCCTACAAATTTTAATAAACCTACGAAGGCTAACCTGAAACCCCTAACTTCACTTCCCTCAAATTCCCCTCTGAAATCAAGGACCTCCTTTGCCCGGTTCTTTGGCCTGCTCGAGAGATCTGGCCGCTATCTGTGCCCCCGCAGCATTCCAGATCGTAGCATGGCAGCATGCGCTTACTGTCTATAGTTACAGAACATCGCATATATATTCGCTCAGGAGTGTGGATGAATCTGAAGAGATTTTCCGGGCTGGCAAGACCTTCCTGGATTATCATCTGAAGTTGACGGTGATGTCACACAGGATGGGAGCTATAATCGAATTTGAAGGTTTAGGGTTTAGGGGGTTCGGGGTGAAGCTTTCGGGTTTTGGGGGCTTAGGCTATGGGGTTTCAGAGATTTTCTGGGCCTTTCTATCAACCCCACTGAAGCTCAATCCAGGATGGGCATCCTGGCTTGGGTTCTGAAACCCAAACACCATGCATTTGGGCAGCAATATCACTTACATGTCTGTTTCTCGAGTTCGGGGTTTGCTGCGAGATGTTGCTTCGACTGAGCTGAGATGATGATGCACATGCTGCTCCAGATGAGAAAGTGGCGTATCAAGGCTGCATGATGTTCGGCTGTACCTGTCCCCTGTCTGTCTCTTGCTCATGTGCTTGGGATTAATGGGCTGAGGACTGAATGTTCGCTACATGCATTGCTTTGCAGAAGAAGACTCGATGGGATGGGTCAAAAGTTCGGGCCTTGGACTCTCACAACCTCTCCATAATAGTAAGCCTCTAAGCCACATGATGAGGAATCGGGCTGAAAGCACCTCGCGCTCGAGATAAATTTGGACCCTGGATGTTACGAATGGGCCGCCTACGGCTCCGAGCAGCTTGCAAAAAGCTCACGAAGACCCTTGGATTCAACAT